TATCCATTTGCATATGGAATTTAGATAAAATACTCACAGGTAGAAAATCATCACTATCTCCATCCAACTCTGACAGGAGTAAACTCTTCTTCCTGTCCTTCTCCTTCCCTTTCTTCTCCTCCCTTCTGCTCCTACTTCTTAACCTCTCTTCTTCTCCATCCTTCTCCTTTCTTCCTTTCCGATTCCGATCCTTCAACCTTTCTTCTCCACTCTCCTTTCCACCATTTCTCTTCTCTCTCTCTTGGGAGCTATCTTCCGCACTTGATTCTGTTTCTCTTCCTCTACGTCCTTTCTTTGGTTCTTCATCTTCTTCTTCGGATGCTACTTCTTTACTCTTCTTCTTTTCGTCCTCTTTCTTCTTTCCCTTTGCTGGTGTTGGTTCAATATTCCTTCCTGTTACTTTTCTGCTTTCTTCTTTATCATCTGCTGATTCTACAACTCTGCTGTTCTTTCTCTTCTCATTTTCTTTCTGTTCTTTCTTTCCTTTAGCCGGAGTTTCTTCCTTTCTTTTTGGTTCTTCTTCTTCTTCTTCATCTTCCTCAGAGTCTATAACTCTGCTTTTCTTCTTCTTAAGTTCTTCCGCCTTCTTCTCTTTTCTTCCTCCTTTGATCGGGGTCTCCTCTTGGTATTTATCCTTTCTTTGTCGGTTTTCAGGTTGTTCGTCATCAAATTCTTTCTTCTTCTTTTTATCTTCCTTCTTCTTTCCACGAGAATTATCTTCTTCTTGGTCCTCACCATCTTCATCTTCTTCCTTTTCCTCCTCATCTTCTTCGTCTTCTTCTTCCTCACTTTCCTCAGCAACCTTTTTAGGCTTGGCTGCGGATCTTCTTGTAGATTTCCTTTATTACTAGCCAACTTCTAGCTATATGCAGGTATAGGTTGGTTTAGTAGCTGGAGCTTTTCACTTTATAACCAGCCAACTTCTAGCTATATGCAGGTATAAGTTTGTCTAGTGGCTGGAGCTTTGTACTTTATAACCGACCAACTTCTAGCTATATGCAGGTATAGGTTGGTTTAGTAGCTGGAGCTTTGTATTTGATAACTAGCCAACTTCTAGCTATATGCAGGTATAGGTTGGTCTAGTAGCTGGAGCTTTGTATTTTATAACCAGCCAAATTCTAACTATATGCAGGTATAGGTTGGTTTAGTAGCTGGAGCTTTGCACTTTATAACCAGCCAACTTCTAGCTATATACAGGTATAAGTTTGTCTAGTAGCTGGAGCTTTGTACTTTATAACCGACCAAATTCTAGCTATATGCAGGTATAGGTTGGTTTAGTAGCTGGAGCTTTGTATTTGATAACCAGCCAACTTCTAGCTATATGCAGGTGTAAGTTGGTCTAGTAGCTGGAGCTTTGCACTTTATAACCAGCCAACTTCTAGCTATATGCAGGTGTAAGTTGGTTTAGTAGCTGGAGCTTTGTACTTTATAACCAGCCAACTTCTAGCTATATGCAGGTATAGGTTGGTTTAGTAGTTAGAGCTATGCACTTTATAACCAGCCAACTTCTAGCTATATGCAGATATAGGCTGGTTTAGTAGCTGGAGCTTTGTACGTTATAACTAGCCAACTTCTAGCTATATGCAGGTATAGGTTGGTCTAGTAGCTAGAGCTTTGTACTTGATAACTAGCCAACTTCTAGCTATATGCAGGTATAGGTTGGTTTAGTAGTTGGAGCTTTGCACCTGATAACTAGCCAACTTCTATTTTTTTTTCGACAACAAATCATTATCTGAAGAATCGGGTTTCTTTTAAGCCCAAGAAACAGTTACTGCGCTAGCGAATACATTTTCACAACATCAAGTACATGATTAGTTTCTTGATACCATATATTCCAGATTAGATGATGCAACTGATGCAGTATCTGTCCATCTTGGAGCTGGTATATGGGGAGCTATTGCAACACCTTTGCTTGCTAGAACAGGTAATAAAAGAATTCACAACGCTTTGTCTGATCAAGGATAAATTGATAAGATAAAGAATTTTGAAAATTGATTATTTTAATTATTTTGGTTTTACTACAGAAGTGACTTGCAGTCCTTGCAGAAACAAACAATAGGGATGAAATATTGAGAATAAAACATTTATCAATTTTGAAACTAAATCTTCTAAACTTGGTTTCTTCGCTCCAAAAAGATATTAACTGTTCATAGCTGTAAATAAGAAAAAGTTTATATATAGCGAGTTATTATAGAAAACAGAATTGTTAAAATTATTTGTTTATGTAATATTCAATAGTTGAATACTCTGGGAAAATTTATCAATTTTTCAGATGTTAAAGGTCAAAACTTTTAAATGTTTGTTTTTGTGATATTTAATCCCGTCTTTATCCCCAGATCTGTTGAATCCTGGTAAGGATATGGGTTTCCTGGTCGGATGGGAGCTAGCTGGAGTTATATCTTGCTTTAGTTGGACTGCAACCATCTCAGCTATTCTTCTTCTTTTACTTCTTGTCATTGGAAAACTTAGGTATAAACCACACATTCTTATTCGGGATCAAATTTAATAAATCTTGGATCGAATTCAATGAATTTGCGAGGTTGCTGAACTACAGACCACCGGTTCAATGGGGAGTGTAAATAAAGTCTTAAACCTTTAAACAGACCCTGGAATTTAGATAAAATACTCACAGGTAGAAAATCATCACTATCTCCATCCAACTCTGACAGGAGGAAACTCTTCTTCCTGTCCTTCTCCTTCCCTTTCTTCTCCTCCCTTCTGCTCCTACTTCTTAACCTCTCTTCTTCTCCATCCTTCTCCTTTCTTCCTAATAGGTGATTTATATTTGAACCGGCATTAGATAATTATTAAGTTCGGTCGCTGTATACACAAAGTATCTGATAGTTAATTGGATCTTAAAATTGGGTTAAAAATATTGAAAAGATTTTTCCTAAAAATAATAGGTCAAGTCAGATGTAAAAATTTGAAAAATTGTTATTCGGGTTCCACTTAATAATACCAATATGTGCCTATACAGATGTTAATTATATTATAATTAAAAAGTGCAAATAATTTAAAATCTGTTTTTAATTCAATTTTTCTAATAAAGGGTTGATGTGAAAGTTGAAAACCATGGAGCTGACATTTTTAAAATTCAAGAACAGGTCAGATTTTCAAATCTTTGTCAGTAAAGGGAATGTCAACTCTCCATTTTATATATATATATATATATATATATATGTATATCCCAACATCTCATCTAAGATACATAAGAAATTTTATTTTTTTCTCTAGAGAAATTTATTTTTTAATAAAAGTGACTTCAGGATTTATGCCACATGGATTGGACTAAAGAAAATTTTCAGATATCGTACTTGTTATGTTTATGGATGGAAAAGCGATTTATTTTCTTCTTTTTATTGGTCAGATAGCATTGTGGATAGAACATGTTACTCTTACAGACAGTCCTTTGTATCGTTTAGAAATGGTGTTAAAAACTCGACCCTACTGTCAACCTCATCCATATCAATGTCGTCAATGTTGTGAAATCAATAAATCAAGTGAAAAGAAATTCAACCAATTTATGCTAACCGTGAAACCATGGAGAATACCGCAATATTTCACTTTTACAATTAATAGAATTTCATGTCATTTTAGAACAATGTCAAATTTTATTGTTCTATTATGCAGGGTTACCCACAAAGGATGAACTTTATATTTAATTAAGTGTGGTGTCGCAAAAATTGTCTTAGATGCGGAACGGATAAACTATAACTTCAACTAAGAAAGAAACATTGCAGCAGCAGGGAACCAGGATTTAAACAAAACAAATTCCGTTCAGTCGTCTTTAAACAGGGAATGAGAATAAAAGGAAGGGAAATGGCGCTGGTCTGGCGTGAGAAAACAAACCAGTCGCACTGCTTTGCAGACGAGTTCGTTATTACACACACACACTCTTTTGGTACAGACACACAACATGACTACAGTCAAGGAAATTGCAGAATAATGTCGTCAATTAAAATTAAGCTTAAATATCTAGTAGTTTATTGTAAACTTTAAACAAATTATATTCTTTGCATGAAAATTTGGCTTATAGTGTTGACTTATGTCACAATCGGATATACATTAATTTCCATCCTTTGGTGGTTATTTTTGATGGGGTCTCGGCCTTGATTTCCACGGAATGATGGTTGATCTTTTATTTATTTATTTATTTACTACATGTATAGTAAACTTATTTTTAAGTAAACAATTAACAATAAACACAAATACCCTCATAGACTGTACAAATACCGAGATTCTTATGTACTGTATAAACCTACAGTACACACCTTCAGTTCGTTATTACTTACACACACTCTTTTGGACAGACACACATGACGTTTCCGCCCCCTGTATCTAAAGTCTGATCCTTTGTGGGTATTTGATAGTCCTCTTTATGACCGAGTGTAAATGATTTAACTAAAAAAACTTTTCTAAAATTCTTTTTATGAAATATTTTTCAGGCTTATCCTTCCACTGCTAACCACTGTGATGTAACCATGGATGGAGTTTATTACAATATAAAGTCACCAGGTTATTATATGGGACTATGAGTGCTATTTCAAGCGACCCACCATGCAAAAGTCACAAGCCATTTACAACGGTATACCCTTTAAACCTTTGACGGATTATTTCGGAAATACCAGATATGTTCAAAGTGGTATTTCATGATCAGCCAAAGATTTAAAGGGTATTATTGTTAATCAGACTCATCAATTGAAATTACGCCTACAGTCCTTTTAATGGATGTTATTTATAGAAATGGTTCCTTGTTTAAATAAATTATAAAATTTAGAGTAAAAACTTTTTCGTTTAATAAAAATATTTATTATTTGTACATTTTATAAATCTTAGGATTATGAAATCCGTGATTTTTTAGGATTATCACCTTTTCCTTTCTTGGAGAGGAAACCTTTGGGTATAACAACAGCCAGGTATAAATTGAACACAAATACAATTTACATTCAAAGAGATGAGGAATTCTCGTGTTTTTTGGTCTGTTTACATTTTAAATGCATTTTTGGTCTGTTTACATCTTAAATACATCTACATAATAAAGCTCTTTGCTTTGTATATATATATATATATATGTCAGCTATAGCTGGACAAACTGCTGGACCGAATCGGCTGAATATTTTTAAGAACACCTATTAGTACTTGAAGGGCAACAAAGGCTAAACAAATTTCGAAATTTGTCAATATGTATATTAACTTGTGCGCGCACTGTCCTATCTGAACATTTTTGGGGTCCGTGAAGATTTTTGTTACATAAACATTGAACAGAGATAAAAGAGTTTCTTTTAATCTACAATTTAAAATATTTTAAATCCTGTGTAATTTTTGCAACCCTTCCTTTTAATACAATTGTTCAAATTTTAAAACTTGGTTTTAAATCCATATTTGTTTCTTGATTCAAGTTCTTTGTAAAGGGATATAGTTCCTTAGCACTGAATTATTCAAATACAAACAATGATATTCAGAATTAAAACAAAATGAAAATATTAGAAACATCGCTAAGAATTCATTTATTTTGTTAACTGGGAAAACGAGCTTATGAGGCCAGATTTAATGAATCGCGCCGCGCAGGAACTCAATTCTCGAATTTTACAAACATGTTGTGTACTTCACAAAGGGTATTCACGCAACTCTGGCCCTTTGGTAAAAGTAAATTCAACCTAAAGTCTGACCGCGTCAACCTTGTTCACTGGCTAGTCCTATTAAGTGTCTACTTTATATACCCAATTTCCGGGTGATACAGTACTAACTGGGACCAGAAAGGTTGACCCGGCTCGGAAATTCAAATGTACTACAGTTGCCAGTGTATTATGCACATACCTTTTGAGAAGTTTTTTCGTCATTGCCATGGACCTATTATGCCATAGTTCTAGCTGAACATAAGCGGTTAAACCTCGTCCACGCGGTTCAACCATTTCTGGTTATTTATTAAATCTGGACCCTGAACAATGAGTTCAGAAATAGATATATCATAACTGTTAAACTAAGATTGTTTTGAAGTGGAATCTTAAAACCAAATGATCTCATATCTTTAAGATATATTTTCTAGAAATGCTTCGTGCACTGCTGTAGTTCCGTCTGTACACCATGAACTTCTACCATCAAATATGACGTCAACCCAGGTAGAGAACATAATTTTCTGCATCTGTAAATGGAAAGGTTATCATTTTTTCAAAATTTCAACCAACTGTTTTTTTACTTTATAATTGGATACTGATTAAATAGAGCTTTTCCAAAAGTCAACATTCAGTTGTAATATTTGGACAAAATAGACAGAATTAAGAGCTGATGAGGGTCGATTCTACCCCCACCCATCAGCTAAAACTGGTTTTGAAGTACCTTAGCAGTACCCTTATCTCGCATAGCTCAAGTTGAAGTGGTACCACAATCAAAATCATTGAATGTTAGTTTATGGAAAAAAGTCATTGAGATTATTTCATCTCGTTAAAGCAATTCCAATATTAAATTATTTTCCTCATATGATTATCGTACTATCTATACAATGTCTTGTTTGTTAAATTTATTATCTATGAAATGTTCTATCTTTAAAATTTATTATCTATGAACTGTTCTATCTATAAAATGTATAATCTATGATGTGTCCTATCTATATAATTTATTATCTCGGAAAGTTCTGATCTCTGAAGATTCCAAGCTTAGAGATGACGAATCTTTGAAATGAATACAATTAAATGCTTTATCTTTGAAATGTTTGATCTATGAAATATGTCCTTCACTCCTATCTATGTCCTATCTACAAATTTCCAATCTATGACAAGTTTTTCTACTCTATTAAATGTCTACACTATGAAATGTTCAATCTATGACATGTCCAATCTATTAAATGTCCAATCTATGAAATGTCCAATCTATAAAAAGTACAATCTATGAAATGTCTAATTTATTAAATGTCCCATCATCTTTAAAATGTCCTAGCTATCTTTGAAATGTCCTATATAACTATCTTTGAAATGTCCTAGCTATCTTTGACATGTCCTCGCTATCTTTGAAATGTCCTAGATATATTTAAAATTTCCAAGCTATTTTTTAAATGTCCTAGCCCCTAGCTATCTCTCCAATCTATAAAATGTCCAATCTGGGAAATTTCCAATTAATGGAATGTCCCATCTTTGAAATGTACATCTTTGAATTTGAAATGTCCTATCTTTAAAATGTCCAATCTATAAAATTTATTATCTATGAAATTTTCCAATATATGAAAATGTATATCAATGATAATAGTTAAAGAATAACAAAAACAAGGCAATTTAGAAATTTGGCATAACAAATCAGGGATGGTATGTACGGGAACGTGACGTAAAAGATAAAAAGTAGTTGTTTTCTATATTTTGGAGTGCAAAAAGCCCTTTCATCATTTTACTGAGCATATTAATAATCTTAATAGACCATATTTATAAGTCATCTCTATTGTCACGTTTAGTGGGCCACCGTGTAACTAATTATTTTTTCTTAATCAGAAACTTGAAAATATGATTCCACTGAATGAATTATCAAGAACTATTCCAAAAATCATCATAGGGGAATGTGAGACACAGGAATGTAATTGTATTATCAATATTTAATGCATAAATTAGGCCTCAAAAACCTTCTGTTAACGGTGAAACCCCTTCATGTAACCTTACTAACTCAACCTTACTAAAATATATATTTTTCTAAAAGCCAAACACATCTAATCAGTTTGTAATTGGTATTAACAATTAATGAAAGATTCTTAGTATTTTGGTTCAGGTTGCGCTAGGTCTAAGAAAATAACGGCTTTTACTGTTAACGGATAGTTTCCCAGTTATATCCGGTATATCTGGTATATCCGGTATATCCGGTATATCCAGGTATATCCGGTATATCCAAGTATATCCGATTTACTAAAATCATGATTAAAAAGAAGATGCACACAGTGATGAAGATCTTACCGTTTACTTTAGAAGAATGAATAACTTAGAATCCGGGTTAACGGTCCCTTTACAATAATAAGAAATGTTTTAAAATATTGTTATTTAGCCTTTTGTTATCATGAGGTCCATTTACAATACGAACTAGGGCCTGTCTCCTGAGGTTTCTCAGTTAGCTCTACCCCCAACCTATATACCGGCCATATCTGTTTCCCACGTGGAGAACCTCAACTCCAGACCTAGCATCAGTCCTGGACTGACGGATATACCGGCCAAAAAGGGGGAATATGACTATGAGGCTATGAAGTAATTTTTATTCATAATTTTTTATAATTAAATATTTTTATCCATTTGCATATAAATTGATTGTTTGCAGAAAAAATACTTATAAAAATTTTTCAATTGAGATTAAATAAAATAGTTCTTTTTTTAGGTTGACTTTATCAGCACAAAAGAAGAGACTAAAATCTATCAACAGTTCTAGAACTAGTGATGTGCTTCTTGCCAGGTAAAATATAAACATTTTTTAACGCTGATTTATTTTATGAAAACTTTTATTTTAAGAGATAAGAATGGTTCTCAGAATAGTCTTGCTGCTTCCCCAGTCCAGGCAGGCGACCTAGAAAATCCCCTAAAGTGGACTAAAAATCCTCCGAATGCCTTAAACCTTTTTATACCCGAAAAGTCCTCATTTATTTTTAAATCAAACGCATTTTTTTTAGAAGTCTATCTTCTGCTGTCAAAATTAAACATATAGGTCTAAAATTTGTACATATGTACTTTAAAAGAATGATTTTGACAAAAATTAATGAAAATGGTTAAACAAAATTAAGGAACCGTAAAAACTTGATCGTATTTTTTCATCCTCACATGTAAAACTCCAGATAAAGAGTTTTTAAAATTATACAGTAAAAATGATTTACATTCGAAATAACTATTGAATTTCTAGAAACGCCCCTAAGGTTGGCCTTCCTGTTCAGGTACAACCCGAGATTTTGAGAGAAATTGCGGCAAATGCGCACAACTTTAACTACCTTGAAACAAGTATGCAATAATTAAGGGGTTTGCCTTTTTGGGGTGCTGGTCTGAGATTTTTGTACTTTCAAAGCCCTTGATAAATTTATATAAATTTTTGAATAATAATTACACCTTTATTTTGTCTGGATTAACATAAATACATATATAATTACAGGGGGAACCATACAACTATGGAATATTAAGATGATTGTAATCAGGCTATCATTTCAAATAGTCGTATGAACACAAACCAAAGCTATATAATAAAACTATTTGCTCTCCAACAAGATCAAATCCAAACTAGATCGATAAAATGTCGTATTTCTGTTCCACAGTTTCAAAGGTCGTACAATGCTTTAAATGTTCCACATAAGCATTAAGCATTCATTATTTTTTCAGGTCTTAAACGAGCTCAGAATCAGAATACAGAAATTGAAAATGAATCCAAGGTTATAATTTAAAATGTGTTTTTTTATTAAACCTTTTAGATTCAAAAATTCAGGGGTGTACTGTATGTTTTTGAATAACCCCCCATCCCCCGACCAATGGGGGGAATGAATTTTGAAAAAATGAAAAATGAAAAAATGCAAATTTTTCATTCTCTTCGATAGATTTTACTCAAAAGTTCATTTTATTTTCTCCAATTCACCAAATAAACCCCTAAAAATTGAAGCCGCTGCATGCAAACTTCTCGGGGAAAATAAATGATTTTCTGAAAGGGTGAGGGGTGGGAATTTTTTTTAGAGAAAATATACACCCCTGCAAAAATGTTATTATTTTTACCAGGGTATTGAAGGAGTTGAAGCAATTGTTACAGCAGATAAGACTGGTCAGAAGGAACTAGATTTATCCAAGGTTAGGTGGGGGGGCCGGGGGGGGGGGGTGTTATTTTTCACGTTTGCTCTTGGGAGTTGAGAAAGCGGAGTGTGATACATATTCATATTCCAACTTTATTGATTAAGATGCTAGGAAAGAAAAAAGTTCAAAAAGTACGTCGGAAAAATGTTAAAATATATATTTTTACTTTTGACGACACAAACATGTTTGGGAATAGCATTCATTTTGTAAATATCCTTTTTTTACAGGGTAGTAGAGTTGTTGCAGAGGAGAGTGGATTTGATGAAAACCGGTCAACTATTAATAGCTCTATTGGTACACAGGTAGAGGATTCTTATTTTCTGACTTCATTCAAACCTTACAAAATTTGTTAAACTGTGTTCAGAAATTCAAATTTTGCACATAAAACGTTGGCAGACATGAAATTGAGGAACTTTGGACATTATTTAATCACTTTAATAAATAGTACACATACAGTTATAATTGTTATTTTTATGGAGATTATATTTAAACCCCTAAATCTAAATGATAAATCTCCCAATGTAAGCATGACTGTTCTTGAAATTGAATTATCAATCACTTATTATTATTATTATCTTAAATTACTTATTCCTTTAAAAGGGACAGAAGTGTTTCAAGTTTAAATAACCATGTCGAATTCTCAACAGTAGACTTTAAAACTCCATCTGAATAACATCATTGTTTTTTATCTTAGTTCGTGATGAATTAGGAAAATTTCCTTGTTTTTTCACTTTTTAGATAAACCACAATTAAAAACTATCAATTTTGAAATATAACTAATGCAGATAACTCAATGATTCTTGATAAAACATCGGAATTGTTCTTCATCAAATGGATGCTCTCTTGAAATTACACGTACAGTCACTTTAAGGAACAAACGTAATGTAACAAATACCTTACTCCAATAAGTTCTTATAAGTCTGTACCAATCCAGGTATAACCTTCTATATTCTCAATGTGTATCGTACAGATATAACTCGCTCTCGAACTTGCTGTCCGATCAAAAATACTCAGTCTGTATCAATCCAAATACAACGATATTGTATTTGTTGGTACGTTTCACTCAGATACAAATCGAGATATCACGCGCTAAAGAATTCAGTGTTCTACAATAATACCTTCGTATGTATTCAATCCAGATACAAAACTCTCTGAATTTCTTAGTCTGTAGCTATCAATCGAGATACAACTCAATCAGACTCTCTGCTTCTGTACACGAGAATTAATGCATGTCTGAACGTAATGAAGCAAAGATTCATGTCTGAACGTAAAGAAGCAAAGATTCATGTCTGAACGTAAAGAAGCAAAGATTCATGTCCAACGAATCTATATTTTTGGGTTTTATGGTACATGTTTAATTAATGAACATAGCTAAATTAAATTGTAGTTAACCTAATGAACGTAGTTAAATTCATGAACGTAGGTTACGTATGATGTTATCTCGTTATATATGTAGGTACTAGGTATGTTCAGGTTTACAAATATGGGGTTTACTACGGTAGCAGGCTATGAAACAGCATAGATACACATTAACTATAAGAAACCAAGAGAAGCTGTCAATTAAAAAAGCTTCTCTATAATTACTTGTAAACTTGTAATTCGAAAAAAACTTGATAACTATCAAAACTTAAATAAAAAAGGCGTCTTCATTGTATTGATATAATCGCTTACCACTGTACTATATTTATTACAGGTATATGTATCTAGTAATCTTGTTTTATAAGGCGTCCCAGCCCTCTCTAGTCAACCTTAACAAGGACTTGAGTCTACCCACGGACCTTACCAAGGACTTGAGTCTACCCACGGACCTTAACAGAAATCAAGAACTGAGTCCTGAGGTTGGTGTTGGGACATTTCACTAAATTGGACATTTAACCCTATCTCTGCTGGGGTACTTGAAAACCAGGATATGCTGGGGGGGGGGGTCAATTTGACCCCCCCCCCCTCTAAATCCCATGTTTGATGTCCAAATATGACAAATTATACATCATTGGAAAGCTCGTGTGCTCTACTTTTAGAATCTGCAAAAAAATTGCAAATTTGCAAAAATTGAATTTTTTATCGCAAAATCCAGTTATATAGTAAAAAGTTTGCAAAAAAATATTTGTCCAAAAAATGAAAAATTATATAGTTTTGAAAAGCCCTTGACCATGCCATTTCAAATATGCAAAAATTTTTGCAAAATTTTAAATAACCTGAATTTTAATCAAGAAAAACTAAAAATGTGTAAATTTCTTTTGACAGGTTGTTTGCAAAAAATTTGCAATTTTTTTTCGCAAAATTTGTTCAATTCGTTTCCTTCCATTTAGCTTTCCAAAAATGCTAAATTTTATCAAAATCTGAGAAGTGGAAGTGGGTCAAAACAAAGATTTAGTTTGTTACAGGAAAAAGCAGTCATTCAGGCAGTGTGCCTGAGGACTCAGGCATTTGGTATTAAAGCCCGGTTTTAGGCCTAAAGGGAGGGCTTTGGGTATATAGGAAAAGTCAGAAAATTTCAACAGCCTCAGACCAATACTTTTTGAGTTATGTAAAAAAAAACTACAGGCCCCCCCCCCCCCCAGCAGGAATAGGGTTAAATAATTCTAAGACCGGACATTTCTTAGACTGGACATTTCATAGTCGTTAAGTCCGGACATTTCATAGTCAGGACATTTTATACACAGGACATTCTATTAACAAGACATTCTAGAAGATTTTAATAGACAAGTTAGTTCCTTATTTCATAATGATCTTTCTTGATACATTTTACGTCATTATTTTAAGATGAATAGTTCAGTTTTGTCTTTGTATATCAAACATATTAAAGAACTATCTGATCTATGATTGTGTCATTTATGAAGTGTGTTGTAAAATGTAGTTTCTATAAAATTAAAATGTCCAAACACCCTGAGGTTGACTTGAACCAGAACCAGATCTTGAACCAGGACCAGATCTTGAACCAGAACCAGATCGTAAACCAGGAACAGATCTTGAACCAGGAAAGGAAGACCAGAGCTAAGGAAAGGAAGGAAAGGAAAGAGGAGATATTGAAGAAGCTAAGAGCTTCCAAAGAAGTTATAAACGAGTCTCCTCTTATCTAAAATAGAAATGCAAGTCAAATTTTATCTAATTTTGTAAAATAGGTTTCTGCTGAAAATAAACGCCATTTTTAATATCACGTGTAAATCAAATACATGAATTAGAATAATTCCCATATCATAGTTGATCATTCCCATATCATATTTGATCATTCCCATATCACATTTGATCATGTTCCCATATCATATTTGATCATTCCCATATCATATTTGATCATTCCAAGCTTGACGGGGCTGTGAAGTTATTTTCAGTGAATCTCCATGCACAAATGGCAATTTCCAATATAATACACACCGATACCCTTAAAGGCTTTGTTTGAGTAAGTATGAATTAGATTATTTTTCATTATTATGGACCGAATATTTGTCCTATTATTTATCAGATAAAGGTTGCAAGGGTACCGTTGTGAATCGGGTATTGTTAAGTCTCTTTAACGCCAAAATACACACTGTCTACTCTGAAGAATCTTGTATTTTCTGCACGCAATCATATTAGCTTTTTAAAATTTTCATGATGATCTTGGCTTTTGTTACATCATGAACTCCCGGTGTCTTTTTAAATAGGATTTATCTAATTCCTACATGTTTGAATAATGATGACGAATGATGTTTCAAGTTCGTGCTGCTTTCTTTGGACAAGATTTATCGTGTTTCCATACCATGCAATGTCGGGTTAAATAAGGAAAATATGAGAGTCGCTGCTTAATTCCCATGTTTATTGGGACACCCAGTATTTAAATTTAGCATTTCAGTTTTTATCTGTAACGACAATTTGTAAACGTTCATTTGAAACAACCCTAGTTTTTTTTCTACGATTAAAGAAGCTTAATTAAAAAGTTGAATAAATGCGAATGTCTATTTTAATTATTGGAGAGAACGCTGAACTCCATACCGCTGGTTCAAATCCTAAATCACCTTTTCAAATCCTCGTGAATCTTTAAATTTGAATAGATGACTTAGGATTTGAGTCGGCGGAAGGTAGTTAATTAGGCGACCTCTCTAAAATTCATTAAATTTATTCCTTTGGCTCTTAAAATTGTATTGAGTGTAGTTGATTTGTTATATGATGTTTTAAGGAGAGCTGAGTTGTTGATTTAACCAAGATAAGCGTGTTCATTAACTACTGATGGGCATCAACTTGAGGCTCGTTATTATTTTTAAATATTCAAACTTTTTAGACTTTTAGGAGGCACCACACAAACCTGATAAATTAATCCTATTCCATAATTTCATGCTAGATAAGTTTGCTTTTATTGCGTTCTGCAATATTTGTAGATATTCATCCAAACTACTGGAAAATCGTTTTTTTTTTGTTTTGAAGAAGGTTTCATCGTAAATATCTTTGATCAAGGAGAATATTCGCATCATAAAGCAAACTTATCGAGGAAAGAATTTGGAAATTTAATTAATAAATCACATTTTTGAAAAATACTTCTAACTCGTCCAAACGATTCCCATCTCTAGATTCAAGTCATTCCTATCCCTAGGTTCAAGTTATTTCATCCCTAGGTTAAAGTCATTCCCATCCCTAGGTTCAAGTCATTCCCATCCCTAGGTTCAAGTCATTCCCATCCCTAGGTTCAAGTCATTCCCATCCCTAGGTTTAAGCCATTCCCATCCCTAGGTTCAAGTCATTCCCATCCTTAGGTTCAATTCATTTCCATCCCTAGGTTCAAGTCATTCCCATCCCTAGGTTCAAGCCATTTCCATCCCTAGGTTCAAGTCATTCCCATCCCTAGGTTCAAGTCATTTCCATCCCTAGGCTCAAGTCATTCCCATCCCTAGGTTTAAGCCATTCCCATCCCTAGGTTCAAGCCATTTCCATCCCTAGGCTCAAGTCATTCCCATCCCTAGGTTTAAGCCATTCCCATCCCTAGGTTCAAGCCATTTCCATCCCTAGTCTCAAGTCATTCCCATCCCTAGGTTCAAGCCATTCCCATCCCTAGGTTCAAGTCATTCCCATCACTAGGCTCAAGTCATTCCCATCCCTAGGTTCATTAAAGCCCCCTCCTGCATCACCTCCATATCCTTATACCCCTGCCCCCCTCCCTACCTTTAATATGCAGTTTTCCCCTACAGGCTATATTTGTGATATTAGACCCTCGATTCGCTTGACCTTCGAGATTTCGATATTTTGATATTTTGATTACTCGACATTTTATAAATTTGACTAATCTTGAACTACAGAAAGAACTTATTTTTCAAAGTTAAAAAATTCATATAATTTCCCTTTTCGAAAAATAAATACATATGACATTATCTAAGTTGCTTTTCTAAGAAATGCGGAATTATCAACTTTCAAACTTTGATTTTCACTTAGGACTTGGACCTTGAGCCACCTTATTTTTTCCATTAACCGGTTTTTAATGACCTATAATTAAGAAATATCCCATCAAATTTTTTTATTAATTTATACCTATAGGTCACTAGACATAGTTTAACCCAATCTGTATATTGTAGCAGGAAAATGATGTTTTGATCTTTCCTGCGACTGTAAATAGCATTTTGTTTGTCATTATTTTTACCCTTCGNAAAATGAAAGGGGGTATAGGATTACAGCGAAAAATGAAAGGGGGTATAGGATTACAGCGAAAAATGAAAGGGGGTATAGGATTACAGCGAAAAATGAAAGGGGGTATAGGATTACAGCGAAAAATGAAAGGGGGTATAGGATTACAGCGAAAAATGAAAGGGGGTATAGGATTACAGCGAAAAATGAAAGGGGGTATAGGATTACAGCGAAAAATGAAAGGGGGTATAGGATTACAGCGAAAAATGAAAGGGGGTATAGGATTACAGCGAAAAATGAAAGGGGGTATAGGATTACAGCGAAAAATGAAAGGGGGTATAGGATTACAGCGAAAAATGAAAGGGGGTATAGGATTACAGCGAAAAATGAAAGGGGGTATAGGATTACAGCGAAAAATGAAAGGGGGTATAGGATTACAGCGAAAAATGAAAGGGGGTATAGGATTACAGCGAAAAATGAAAGGGGGTATAGGATTACAGCGAAAAATGAAAGGGGGTATAGGATTACAGGGAAAAATAATCGCTTTTTATCGCTACTAATCTTATTTCTATCTGAGCGTCTATAATGAGAAAATTGTTAAAAACGATTTATACTGAAGAACGTAGCGTCCATACAAATTGGCTAAACAATTTTCGAGCAAACCCATGGATGCCCGGTTAATAGGCTAAAATCTATTTTATCAAGTGTTTTTAATATTCCACGAGCAACGCCGGACACTTTAGTAGCTAGTATGGCTCCAGTACAAAAGGTAGAATTACAAAAGGTAGAATTACAAAAGGTAGAATTACAAAAGGTAGAATCGATCATAAGGTAGAACGACAAAATGAAGAACGATCAAAAGATAGAACAATACAAAAGGTAGAATTACAAAAGGTAGAATTACAAAAGGTAGAATTACAAAAGGTAGAATGACAAAAGGTAGAACGATCATAAGGTAGAACGACAAAATGAAGAACGATCAAAAGATAGAACAAACAAAAGGTAGAATTACAAAAGGTTGAACGTTCAAAAGGTAGAATTGTTAGCATGATCGTGCTTTGGTTCATTCTGAAGAAGGTTGGTAGAGTGAAATTGCCCGCCCCTTGCATCCCTTTTAGAACTTCTGGCATCGCCAGAACTCTGTACCATTCTTAATTTTCTCAAAATTATATTCATATTTCTGGTCGTCAATCAATGTTCTTTTCTTCTTTTGATTCACCCCATAGTTGACCAACCTCTCCATGCTAAATTCAACCGAGAAATGTAGTTTTGTGAATTTTTAAAAAAAAATCACGGATTTTCTTGTAAAAATTAGAAAATTTTCTTCCTTCTCAAAATTAAAAAAATTCAACCTTTTGAACTTTCTACCTTTTGTTTATTCTACCTTTTGATTGTTCTACCTTTTGTCATTCTACCTTTTGTACATGAGCCGCTAGTATAATTTAAAATAAATCTTTGTGTAATTTATCAACTCAAGTGACTTGTGGATGTTTGCTGCAAATATAAATATAAAAAAGTAAATTAACAATTAAAAATTAAAAAATGAGTTTTTAGGCCAAAGATGCTCCTTTAATCTATAGAATATTTTAAACATATGCAGCCGAGAGGGACATCAAATAAAATTTTTCTGTTAAAGTACAAGAGTCATGGAAAGAAAAACCTAGAAAATTTGAGGGATTACAAATTTTGACAGGTTTGAAAATTAAGTTGATCATTCTATTTTTCATGTTCTCTGAACTATGTAATTTCTCCTTATCTTCTAATTATCTCAAGATACTGATCTTCTAATCTCAAATCTTCTTTTTCATTAATATCTGGAAACTTTAAACTATTAATCATAATTCATACATGCTACAGTGAGACTCATAAAACGTTGGAAGACGACATTACATCAAAATTATGTATATTGATATTGATGTTGTTCCAAAGCAAATAAAGTCATTGACGTATATAGCAATGCAATGAAAACACATTTCTATTTTGATTTCCAGCAAGCGTTTCAAACATCATGGATAGACAGAAAGAGAAATAAAGAGAATCTATCAATTAACAACTTATCTTTGTTTACTTGTAAACGTGTAATTAGAAAAAAGCTTTTAAAAAAATAAAAACTTGAATACAGTCGTTTTTTTGCATTGATTTGAACGTCGTCTCTGTAGTTTTACCCGCGCGAGCTTGAAAATCAAATCATTAAGATTAACTTTACACAATTGCCGTGTTTCATGACAATTGTAATATTAAAAATATTATAAGGAGTAAGATCGTAATCAAGGAATGGGGTTAATTAATATTTACAAACCATTTAAAAATTTTACGATGATAAACTGTTTTTTTTTATTATGTAAACCTTCATGTTTTCTGTAGACCTCCTTGTATTTTATATACCTACATGTATTCTGTACACCTCTCCACGTAATCTGTAGACCTCTGATTATGTAGACCTTCATGTATTCTGTGGAATTGAATGTAATCTGTACTTCTGTAGACCTGCATGTATTCTGTAGACCTCCTTGTATTTATTCTGTGAAATTGAATGTAATCTGTAGACCCGCATGTATTCTGTAGAGT